GAGCAGGGAGCCCGATGCGGGGCTCGATCCCAGGACCCCGGGATCATGACCTGAGCCGAAGGCAGACGCTCAACGACTGAGCCACCCAGGCGCCCCAGTAATCTTAATAAATAGATCAATATTTTAGTTTTCCATTCTAATGTTAAGGGAAATGAAGTATTCTCTGTAACTAGCAAAATTCCTGACTCCTTTGGAAAAATCATAAAATTGTGTGTATGTTAGACAGTCATTTCCTGGTCACTCTTGTTTCCTTGCCTCTCATCTTCCTTTAGATGTGAAAGCTGTTGTTGAACAGCTCAGAACTTTAAGTCTCATGAAATTCCAGAACAGATTTGGAGGGGTGCTAAATCTCTGTTTTGACATGTTAAAGATGTGTGTGTGGCCGGGGGGCAGGGCAGAGGGATGATCAGTTGCTATTATCGTGATTTCTTAGATAGAATATATAGTATGGATATGATCAGACTACCAAAAATGTTTCCTTAACAGGGAACAGTAACCACCATACTGCAACACATAGACTCACTGTGTATCTTATCCTGATTTCTCTCATTTTCCTGAGGACCAGTGACAGCTCTCTCACAGAGCAGTCGCCATCCATGTCTATGGGGAGCACCATGTTGGGTATCCTAAAGTATTGAATTTTCCACTGTGGCCTGGCAAGGTCTAGAGCTGTTCCTCCCATGTGTGACTTGTCTTGGGTGTCACAGTCATTCCTAGCTGACTTCTTCCTTCAAGATCAGATGCATGCCTTCAGGCAGCTTTCTAGATCAGCCGGTTTGTGTGCATGCTCAGAGAATGTGTACCTATTGTAGCCAAAGTCACATACAATTTGGAAAAGTCAGTCTCTTGGTCAACTAGCACAGTAACGTAGTCTGCCAGTTCATAAATAGCTTTGGGAGTCCACCTATTACTGATCTCTTTTATAAGAATACCTTATGACTGTTACTCTTTATACCAATTCTGCATCACATTCTGTTAAAGAGTCCTGTTACTTTTCCCTCTCAGCGGTTTTGCGAGTGGCTGGTTCCCTGCAGAAGAGCACGGAAGTGATGAAGGCCATGCAGAGTCTGGTGAAGATCCCAGAAATCCAGGCCACCATGAGGGAACTATCCAAAGAAATGATGAAGGTGACCTGGGGCCACCCCTGCATCCCATTCCTGGTGGTCACTCCCAGCAGATGGTAGGCGGCTAGGGCCAGGGGTGGGCAGGAATGAACGGACCACTGTTGCCAGACAGAAATGATTTTGAAGACAGAGGAGCAGCTCTTAACACTGGTTGAAACCGTCTGAGCTGATGAGAGCGGAGGCTGGGTCAGATCGCCAATGTCCCAGGATCAGGGCCTAGAAAGGTCTTCTGCTGGTGGCCTTCAGACAGGGATAAGGCTCAGGAGGACACTGTTACTGAGCCCCTGCAGCCCGTGCTGTGTGACACGTGCTGTCCTAGAGAGTCCTCCCAGTGACCCTGTGGGGGAGCTGGGTTTTTACCCCATTTTACACAGGAGGAAATCAAGTCTTCAGGTTGCCAGGTAATCTACCTAAGTGACCTTGGAAGTAAGTGACAAATCTGGGGTTGGAGCACACACGTCTGACCTTATTGCCTGAGCTGTGTTAGAGGTGGTGACATAAGTTCCTCAGACAGCTGTGTTTCTCACTTTGGACTTGTGACCTGAGAGCCAACATTGTACACCTCAGATTCTTATATATTAGCTTATGTATAGAAATTGCCTTTCTTCCTCCTGGGGAATTGCATTTATGAACTTGAATTCTGCGCAGGGCTCTCGGGCGTGGGAGAGAGGAACGGGAGAAAATTGATGGAACGACAACATAATGCCCAGAACCCAGGTCTTTGGAACGAGAAGTGCTTGGGCAGTAGTAGGGAGGAAATGGGGTCAGGAGCGTGTGTCCTTTAAAAGTGGTGTGTGGATCTTTTTTCCCAAGTTGTGATGACTGTCCATGTAGAACTGGATAAAAAGGTAATTCTTAGAATGACTTTAGGCCTGCTCGTTCTAACTTATGTAGCCACCAGAATCTGAGGGGAAGACCCTTTTAGAATCTGGGGTCTTTTCCACAATGGTTTCTGAATGCTGAGAGTAATATAGATTGGGAGGAAGGCTTGCATGTAATACATAATAAATATTTACTGAACTCATTCCAGGATACATCGCCAAGTACAAACTGAAGCCTCTGGTAGGGGCCCAGCTCCTTGAGGGCAGGGACATGATGTTAGTCATTCCATTTGTTCCCAGACCCTGGCCTGTGTGTGGCACAGAGCAGGCATTTGATGAATGGTTGCTGACTGAATAAGTGAATAAATGAGTGAATGACTTCTACCTCCAGGATGTGGAAGACTGTTACAGTCAGGATTCCAGTAGGCTCTTTTAGCCAGTTACAGAGCATGTCCTGAACCTCCTCTACGGTAGCCTCCAACAGTAAGATGACATCCATTCGTTCAGGTCAGAAGGCTCCACCTGTGTGAATTGAATTTATTTGTAAATTTAGGTTGGGAGGAAAGGATCTGAGAGTGGGTAGAATATGGTTATTAGTCTGATTCATGTCATTTAGACAGGAAGGGCAGGCAGGAGAGAGGGCTTGCTTTACATCTGATGCCATCAGCATGGTCAGTGAGCGCCGTGCCCTGCTAAGTGCGGGGAAGCCAGGGCCAGAGCTGCCACAAGTGCCCCTCTGCTCCTTGAACCCCTGGGTCAAGGTACAAAGCAAGGGGCTCAGCTCTTGCAAGTGGCAAAGCAATTAGGATTTTTCTCTTCTGGCAGCTTCTCAGAAGCCTGAACCCATACTTTCCTTCTGCCTCTCAGTCCCTTCCCATCTCTTCTACCCAGGGATACCAGGGGCCTCTTTCTGTCACTGGAGGGTGCTGTTAGGACCTTTTGCTTCAAAACCAAACAAAAAACAGTCAGTAGGGTTTTACTTGGGAAGACTGTGGGTCCGGCTTGTGTTGGGCAGTGTTCGAGAATGGTTTTCTTGTGCCCCACACTGAGGACACAGGAGGCTGAGTGGCTGGCTTCAGGCTGCCAGGCACGGGGCTTCCAGTAAAGTCTGGGCGTTACCTTGTTGGGTCCAGAAACCTTCTTATCAGTTCTCTCAGGAATGGAGGATCAGTCTTTGGTGAATTGTTTGATCCTTGCCAGAACCCCTTGGACTGGCCCTGTACCGGCAGGTGTAACCTGGACACACTAAGTACTCTTCAGGCCTTTTCAGGGGTCCATAGAACCCCAACTGCTCTTAGTACTTGTTAATCATAGTGTCCATGAAGACTCCACTCCATTTTTTTTTTTTTTTTAAGATTTTATTTATTTATTTGTCAGAGAGAGGGAGCACAAGCAGGAGGGGCAGCGGGAGAGGGAGGAGCAGGCTCCCTGCTAAGCAGAGAGCCCGACGGGGGCTCCGTCTCAGGAGCCTGGGATCATGACCTGAGCCGAAGGCAGACGCCTATCTGACTGAGCCACCCAGGCGCCCCAGGGTACATGCTTCCTAAGAGAGCCCAGAGCACACTCATTTTCAGTAGGTTGTTCCCCAAGTGCTGTCATTACAGTCTGGGTTACTATGTGAGGCTCTGCTGAGAGAGGGCCCCCACCAGCCCTGGTACTGAATATGGAGAACAATTTCCCTGTGGCCTTTGCCTTTCTTCAGAGAGGAGAGACAGCATCAGTGTTTCTAGTGACCATCTGTCTAGGTATTAGCCCTCAGAAGGGTGGTCTGGACTTGGAGACACTAGGGCTCGGGTGGAATTGGACCCACAAAGGAGTCTCTGGGGAACAGATTTGATGTGATCTGTTCTGTCTTTAGGCTGGCATCATAGAAGAAATGTTAGAGGACACTTTTGAAAGCATGGATGATCAGGAAGAAATGGAAGAAGCAGCAGAAATGGAAATTGACAAAATTCTGTTTGAAATCACAGCAGGTATGGCCCTGAGATTCTTCCTCTTTCTCCCCTCCTTTTGTGGTCATTCTTCTTGCAGTCACTAAGTTATCTAGTAGCTTTTTCTTTTGGACTCTCTTACTTCCACATTTTTTAGATTATAAAGTTAGTTCTTGAAAAATAAACACAATATCCATAACATCTTTTTAAAAATTCCTAGAGTTTTCAAAATGGTAAGGAGAAGCACTGCTCTCACAACACTGCTGTTGGGAGCTTAACATTGGGATAGACTTTCTTGAAAGCAGTTTGGCAATAGCTGTCAAAAGCCCTGGACCCAACAGATTGATTTCCGGGAGTTTATTCTGTAATTAAGGATGTGATGAAAGATTTAATTCAAGGATGTCTGTAGTATTATTTATCATACCGAAAAGTTTGAAACAATCTAAATGCCTAATAATAGAGTAGTGGTTGTATTGTGTTATATCTGTTTTAATGGAATACTTTATAGGTGTGGTAATGTGGAAGTACATTCATTGACATGGAGAGATGTCCACAATATAATGTGTGGGAAAAGCCTTGTTACTGCAATCCATACTCTTGTGTAAAAACCAGGCCTATAGAAAAAGTCTGGAAAGGGAATAAACGAAAAATAGTAGTTATCTCTGAAAGGTAATGAGGTTTTAAACTGTATTTTTACTTCTGGATATTGGGTCTTAGGCTTAATGGTGACATTTAATTTTTATCTATTTGTTTTAAAATTGTTTCTTTGTTTTAAAACTATTGGGAGAAAGACTAGTTGCTTCAGGAAAACATTTTGTGAAGGTTTAGAAACAATTTAGTTTTACTGAGAGACATTTAACATCTTCATCTGAACACTTAACATCTCAAAAATTAAGTATTCAGTAGTGTTTAGGAATTTAGACTAAGAGTGTCAGAACCAAAATTCTAAAAACCACCAATCCTCAGTTATTGTAACCTTGGTCTCATCACAAGCTGGTGTTTGCATATTTGTCATAGTGAGCAAAAGCTCATGCAAACAGCTCGTTTTATTGCCCCTTTTCTGTTTCTTGTTGGACTCTTCCAGGCACGAAAGGCAGAGAGGATGAGGGACCACTTCTTTAAAATGATACTTGGTTAATTTATTTGCTGTTTCTTTTCAGGGGCCTTGGGCAAAGCACCTAGTAAAGTGACCGACGCCCTTCCAGAGCCTGAACCTCCAGGAGCGATGGCGGCATCAGAAGATGAGGAGGAGGAGGAAGAGGCCCTGGAGGCCATGCAGTCCCGTCTGGCCACACTCCGCAGCTAGGGTCCGCCCCGCTGGGCCCTCGGGCTCTTTCCCAGCCCACCTGCCAGGAGCGGGTACACCCCTCTGAAGCAGCACCATTTTATGTACCTCTTGCACTACACCTCTAAATGAGGCACTGCATTCTGAGAAGGTTCTCTGCTCCTATCTTTTCACTCTTTGCAGAGGTTGTGGGATCTCAACAGGATTGTCCTTGAGAGGTGGGGTTATAAATGCATCATTTTCAGGAATATAAACAGAAGTATCTTTTGGAGGAAAGGGCAAAGGAATCTGTCTTCTCCCGAAGCACTTCTGAGGATAGAGTTGACTGCCTGAATGTTGAGGACTCTACCGTTTTTTGTCCCTAAAACACTATTATATAAAATGGATTTTAATAAATTTCTGCTTTAACACTTGGTCTCATTGTAGCTTGTCATGTGCAGTGAATTTTCAAGGTGTTTTGCAGTTTCAAGTTATATGTTGACCTTGGAAGGAGAGGAGGTGCTACAGCCAGTCGTACGGGACGTGGAAGCTCAGCACAAGAGGCTTCTGCTCCGAGGACGCTGTTCCTCAGCCTCACAGATGTGGTGTGGGAGCCACACTTCTGCTTTCTGTCATCTGTTTAAGCAAAAGGATCCTCAAGAATTATGACTCCTTGTCCTGTTGTCTGGATGGCTGTATTATGTCCTAAAACAGCTGTGTGTATGTAGTTTTCCTTGCCCTCCTTCCCAATGCAAGTTGGACCCAGAGCAGACAGCTGTGAGATTAGGATTCTCTCATCCTCGGATTGCTTTTCTCTGCTGTTGCTATTGTTGTTGTTCAACTCATTTGGGTAAATACCAAGGAGCACAGTTGCTGGATCACTGGTAAGACCATGTCTGCTTTTGTAAGAAACTGCCAAACTGTCTTCCAAAGTAGCTGTGCCATTTTGCTTTCCCACCAGCCATGACTGAGAGTTCCTAATCCTCCACATCCTCGCGAGTAGTTGATGTTATCAGTGTTTTGGATTTTGACCATTCTAACAGGTATGTAGTAGTATCTCACCGTTGTTTTAATTTGCAATTCCCTAGTGATTTATGATGCTGAACATTTTTTCATGTGCTTTTTTTGTCATCTGTATATCTGTTTTGGTGAGGTGTTTGTTTAGGTCTTTTGCCCATTTTTAATTGGATGGTTCATTTTCTTATTGTTGAGTTTGAAGAGCTCTTTGCATACTTTGGTAATAGTTCTTTCTCAGATGTGTCTTTTATGAAGATTTTTCTCCCAGTTGTGGCTTGTCTTCTCCTTCACATTATCTTTCACAGAGCAGTTTTCAATTTAAATGAAGTCCAGCTTCCCAATGATTTCTTTCATGATCATGCCTTTGGTGTTAGAGCTTAAGTCATGGTCATACCCATGGTCACCTAGATTTTCTCCTGTGTTATCTCCTAGGAATTTTGTGTTTTACATTTAGGCTTTGATCCATTTTGGTTTAATTCTTGTAAAGTGCTTAAGGTCTGTGTCTGGATTATTATTTTTTGCATGTTCCAGCACGATTTGCTGAAAAGACTGTCTTTGTTGCATTGTATTGTCCTTACTCCTTTTTCAAAGATCAGTTGACTGTATTTATGTGAGCCTGTTTCAAGCTGTCAGTTCTGTTCCATTGATGTGTTTGCCTCTTTTTTCACCAATACCACACTGTCTTAATTGCTGTACCTTTATAGTAAGTCTTGAAGTCAGAGAGCATCAGTCCTTCAACTTTGTTCTTCAGTATTGTGTTGGCTATTTTGGGTCTTTTGCCTATCCATATAAATTTTAAAATTCATCTGTCAATATCCACAAACTAACTTGC